CTTGATGAAATGTGTCTGAGTCAAATATCTGTTAAAAATTGTGTGTAAATTTTTTAATGTCTATCATGAAATGACTTGATTCCCATTCATAATTATTCGTTAATTATTCATAATGATTGGTGTATAATAATAATGTTTCCATAAAATATTATCTTTTTAAATAAAAAAATAGATTTTTTAAATAAATATTCACATTGTAAATCTGAACGTAACCCAAAACAGTCATTTAATAATTAAATCTTGTGTAAGTGCAAAAAGGTCAACAAAAGAAGTATTGATAAATCGAGTTTCTCTCATTCGATTGCGGGGAAAGATATATATTTTAATAACTTTTTGTAATTATTTGGGTATGTTTTTCATCATATTAAAGATTGAAAACATTTTGACAAAGACCTTTGATTTTTTTTTAAACATATTTAGGTGGTAAATTGACTCAAAAAATATTGAGCACATTTGCCTATATTCGTTGAAATGTGGACTTAAACTTTTATGTCAACTGAATAAAAAAGAATTTATTCTTGAATAATATTGCTTCATACGGTTCAGTTAATAAAGTATATAAACAATGATGTTTGAAGTAGTATTTTTGTGATTTTCTTTATTCTCTTTATGACCATTACCCCCCTAAAAATGGCTGAAAATATGTAGTCGCAGTGTAAAATAAGCATTCCAAGTTGCACAGGCTGCACAACATTTAATAACAAGGAAACATACTATATATTTTTAACTGATTGATAAGCGAGTGCTAATTAATCATTTTGAAAAGTTTGAAAATCTTGTGACAAAGACTTTTCCGACATAGGTTCTACCTTAAAGCGATATAAAGCTAAATAAATGTTAAGATCACCTTTACCAACTTTGCCTTTTTTTCCAGAAAAACTAATTAGAGGCATTGTAAATCTTAAATTTATATCACATCTACTTGTTTTGTAAAGCCGAATTTTCAAAGAGTGGAAGAAGATTCTCAAAGACTTGATTCATTTCTTACTGTATGATCAATAGAACTCCCCTAATACCAGAACAACTGATCCATGATTTAACAATTTTTTAAGCGACATTCCTGTCATATTTATACACTTAGTTTATCTGCTTAATATAAGGTGGAGAGATGAAGAGTTTTGAAGAATTTATGCATTTTGATTATATGATCTATACCGCCACACCCTATCACAAAAACACCCGGCCCTTGCTAGAGGACGCAGTATTTTAATAATAGCTTACAGTTTAACTGCTTGATGTCGCGGAGAAAAGTGGAAATCTGATCCTATAGTTGGTAAACATCACCCTTCCATTTGAATTTCCTTCAATATTTAGTGAAGTACAGTGTATATCCCATGAATACGAATTAGCTAAAACTGTAATCTTTACATAAAAAAATCAAATAAATATCAATTTTAAATAATAAATTTTATAAAATTAACTTTTCTGAAACAGTTTATAAAAAAAAAAGAAAAAAGAAAACGGCCCATTTCATTTGCAGAGTTTCTTTCTGTAAATAATGAAATAAGGACAAGTTTTTAGCAAAAAAGAAATATTAAAAAATGGAAATAGAGAAAAATTAGTAAAGAATATGTCGAAAGATTAAGATAAATCCTTGTTGATATAGTACTTCATCAATTTTACAGTAACCTTTGTAACAGGATATCCTTTCTCCTTTAAAATAATAATAATAATAGTAAACACTTTGATGAATTCTTACTTTATTTATTTTCTGTAAATAGTTATGATTATAATAAATTTAATATACATTTAGATTTTTTGCACATTGATAGTGAAATGAATTTAAATATCAGTGGTGCAGACCAATAACAGTTATGAGAAAGTAAAACATACTTTCATGTATGAAACAAATGATAATTATTATAAAATATAAAATAAATTTCAAAAGAAATCCCTGAAAAGATAAATAAAAACCCACAGTTAACAAATGCCTAATATAATTTTATAATCTACCGTAAATTCATTTACAATTAATACCACATTATATATAGGAAAGAAATATCGTTTCTGGTTTTCATAAAAAAAAAATCACTGCACTGCTCCAGAAAAGAATTTTCTCCATTTTAACAATATTTCTATTACAGCTAAAGTTTATTTGTTTTTCTATTTTTCTTATCAGCAAACACGCAGCTAGGTTAAGGACGCCCATATAATAAACGCCTAAATGTATTCAGGGAAAATGAATACAATGTTAATATTTTATTAACAACATAAGTTTTAATGAATGTGAATTGTGGTGTTTGCACTTGTATACACTGGGTCTCTGCTGAGTTCGGGCAAAGAGACATCCCTCACATCAGCTGTTTGTCACGTGACAGGTCTTAAATTAGAACATATACGTACTACTACAAAGATCGTAAAAGTACAATGATATACGGGTATCTTTCCGCTACATAATTTATTCTGTTTTGTTTGAGACTAATTCCTTAACATGAAAAGTAAAGTGCTTGGAGCAACTTCCTCATGCTCGGGAATTGTGTAAAATTTAGCCGTCTTTCAATTAACACCAGATATAAATGTAATACGGATTGGAATAATGCTATATTGCGGAATAAATAAACAATGCACAACCAGCTCCCAGCACTTTTCAGAATGGTAGGAATAATAGCTATATGTGTTTAAAAATTCAGAATTTATAGTGAAGCGGATATCGTCGAACCTTTGATATTTTCGAGGGGTTGGACCTGTCATTCTAGCTCGTTACTATACAAATGTGTTCCCTACGGCTATATATGAAGTCTACACATTATCACTTTAGTTTGACAATAAAATGTGGATTTATTTATTTCAGAATATGTTTCTATTTTGGCCAGATTATGCGTGTTTGGTTTTTATTTTTATTTTTAACAAGCTACGATAATAGCTTGATCCACGCCTCAAGTACAGAGAAACTGCGTGTCAAACTAAGAAATGACTTCATCTCAGTAAGTGCAGCGAGATCAAGCTGGCTTTCATTCTACATACGCTAAGTGCTATTATGGCAAGATAAGTTTCACATCCATTTATCTTTATAATGTTTATGAGAAACGAATGTATTTAAGTGTGTTTTAAAAAGAACATTATAGTATTTATTCATCGAGACTCATTTGTATTGTTTTAATGTGACGTTATAATACCTTTCCCGAACCTCTGCATAGACTGACGTATATATGGGAGTCCTTAACCTAGCTGCGCATCATTAAATCAGTTTAAAGTAATTAAAAAGGTACTGGTAAAATGAATGGAGTAGGAAACATTGTCTAAAACATTTTCTAATTTTTTTCTACGTTACAGAAAAACATTCAATAAAATATGGTATGATTAAACTATCACTTAAGAGAGCTTATTTACGAGTTCTTGAACACATTAATAAACTTTATAATATTGTTTTCTAAATGAAATTTATTTATTTGACTGAAAGCAAGAAAAAATGCTAAGACGAAATGGTTTAAATCTAGTAAATCAATATCATAATAGTTTTATTTTTTATTAACAGTTAAAACTGTTATTCTTTGTGTTTTACTATCTTTATCTTAGAATGTTGAGTAAAAAGTGTAAATTAAAAAGAGAAGCTCATCCTTCATATTGTATTCCGTCGCCACGTGATACGCTACAAACAAAATTATATGCTTGAATTATACATGAATGCCGTATAAAATAGAAGATCGAAATATAATATAAAAGAATTGAAAAATAATCATTGAATAAACAAAATTCACTGTTTAAACGCACCTTTTTCTTTGTTTTATCTTGCATTATCAAATGCGATAAAGGGTGAAACTACTTAATTCAGTTTAATAATAAAAAAATATACAATGGGTTATGATTGAAGTACAAGATTGATAAGCTCAAATAAAGAACTATGCAGAATCTCTCTGAATTCCCTACTAGATTCTACACATGCATATTTCGAAATTTTGGATAATTTTGCAATTGAAATTTTCATGCGCAAATTTGAGTTCAAAAAAAAAAAATTATAGATTTTAGTAAATGCACTGATCTTTAGGTCTGTTTGATCAAGTCCATGAAAGCAGGACTTTACAAGCTTAAAAATTTTAAAGTTCTATCAATTGAGGATAGATAACAAAGTAATCTTTAAATAAACATTTCATTATTGGAGGAACTTTTCTTGATTTATTGGATAAAATTTAAAATGCATCATACTGTCTCTCGGTCACCTTAAGTAACATAATTAAAGCAAACCCTTTTTTCTCTATAACGACGTATAAACTATTTGCGACCTTTCATGAGGGAAAGTACAATTCATGGTTGACATTCATTAAATCAACGTCTTTCTTTTCCTAAATTTTTATATCAAGGAATTTTCATCAAAAAAAAAATTCATTCTCACTATAATGAGAAACAATTTCTTAGTTTATGTGATTTTTTAAAATCACAGATAGGTATTTTCAACATCCAGTTCAGTTGAATGAATTAAGTTTTCTATTTCCTCATATTCCTGCTCTCTGAATGGAGTTGAAGGCAGCTGTTGTTTTAAAAAGGTTAACCATGCCTGACACACTTGCTTCTCCGAAGTTTCAAACGTCAAAGCCTTTCTTCCAAAGCACTGCAATCTTAATCGCGAACAACCTATAAATGTGATGAACTTCAATCAAAAAGTGCAATATGTTTTCACATTTCAAAGGATTATGGTGTTGTAAGAATACACATATTTTCACTAAAGTTAGACTTGTTCGTGTCAATTTCAAATATATATTTAGTTTGTCCGTATTGCTCACATACAGGAATATAAGTCAACGTCATATTAAATAAAATTCTATTATTTTGTAACAAAAATTGTTTTACCATTATTTTGGAAAATATTCACGTCCATTATGTCAGATAGCTTTGTTTGCTTGTCTGGATCTGGACCCCAAGAGACAATTGGGGGAAAATCCTGTTTTACTTCAAGAAAAACTTGCTTTCTCTTGCCATTGTCTTTGACCAGCAGAAAACATGCTAAAAAGGAAAGAGACAAAAAATTCAGTAAAGTAATTACTGTTCTATAGTTAAGAGAAGTTCTATCCAAATGACTTATTTTTACCTTTTGGAGAAGACATTGAACCTCTTCCTATTGTGGACCGTAATTGCAACTCTCTCAGGGTTTTTGTGTGATTTTCGGAAAGTGTTTGAATGAAATTCAACACAGACTCAGCCAATATGGATGCGGTGTACGAAGAAACACGTCCTGGGCAGAAATGAAATTCTAATAACAGTGTCTGTTCCATTTTATTATATAGTGCATAGAGCAATGTTTCAAAACTGGGATTTTTTTCGATCTGAGTTGATGTGAAATTTATATACTGGTGATCAGCAAAATCGGTTGTGTCGAACAAAAAAGAATGGGTTTTGTGTAATTTGCTATCGAATTCTTGTAACTCCATGATGGCAGAGAATGGATAAAGACAGTTTGATGTTCCTTCCTTCACATTTTGTTCATTTTCATTAAGAATTTCATGCATTGTTAATCCAGGTCTTATAAAATTTGGGGATACCAATGGCACATGGTTTGCACAAGCTAGGACATGTAGCTGACATTCCTGAATCCATGAACGCAAGTCAACCTCCAACAATACTGGGACTCTTTCTATATTAGTTATTTTATGCAGAGCTATCTGAAATGCACTGGTCACAATGTTGCACATAGTCCATCCATTTTTACTTAAAAGTTCTCTAAGATGGTTAACATCAGTCAGTGGAATTGGTATTCTGCCCTTCTCATATTTGGGCTCCAGCATAGGGAATTTGGATTTCAAACTTGCTGATGCACTACACAAACGAAGACGGTGCCTCCAATAATTTTTAGAATTTGTTGCAACAATGTGCAATTTGCTGCTATATAATGAAAGCAAATCAACGTTTGCTTTATCAAGCCACGAAGGAACGTCATTTTTGGCAATGAGATAAGTTGCGATTTTTTGTAAGTCTTTTTGAATAATTTTCCCACAAAAAGCATCAAAGTGCGTACGATTACAAGATATATTAAGATTGGCTTTATTTTTTTTTTCATCATAAATTACAGACAAAGGCGTGTCTTTATTTTCTGCTATTTTTGTTTGTAGTACTTCGTTTGTTTGAATATGCTCAAATGGAATAATGAAATCTTCAATATCCACATTATTTTCTGATGAATCTGTTGGGTCGTTTCCTCCAGTGGCATAAACAAGTATTTCTGGATTTAACCTAGCAAAAAATTGCATTACCCTTCTCCAGAATTCTGGTCTGTTTATGGAAGGGGATATTGAAAAGGAGAATACATAGGAGGACTGTTGTAACCGGTCGCTATCAAGATATTTTTTAACCATTGAAGTACTTTCCGAAATATGTCTGTCACTGCTTAATTCATCTGAGGTGCTGTCTGACATCTTTTTTGATAGAAAATCAGCTAGTTCTTGTATAGAAAAGTCACCCGACATCACGAGCAAAATAGGAATCGTTACTTTTGTTTCTGAAAAAATTGTGTTAATGATCTCAATTGAATTTTGCGAGTCTACCCCATATTGGGCAAGGGAATTTGTATCTTCAATTTCTGAAACGTCCATCATCAAAACATGTGCTGCAATTTGTTTGATAAGATCAACCATATTTCCACAGGACTCATAAGTTGTTTCTCCCCCAGAATCAGCCTCTGGGGCAGACTTTTCTCTGTCAGAGACTAGTCGAGCATATTTCGATGCCTTCAATTTTAAGTTACTAGCAGTAAAAAAGCGCTTGATGTCAAAATCCACAAATATTCCTTGAACTTGATCTGAGAGGAACATTTGTGTAAGTGAATTGCATATTTGGCCAGTAGACAATAGAGTAATGCCTTTGTGAAAAAAGATGTCTTTTAATGTTGGGTCTGATCCCATTCCAACGTCTAAGGCTCCCCAGTTTATGACCTGTGCTGGGAGTCCTAATGATCTTCTGTAATAAGCAAAACTGTCTAGAAATGCATTGGCTGCTGCATAATTTGTTTGAGAGTAGTTACCAAATACAGAGGCTACACTGGAGTGCATAGTAAATATATCAAGATCCATATATTTAGTAACATGATGGAGATTCCAAGTACCAAGGACCTTCACTATAATAGGCAATTCAAATTTTTCTTGCGTCATTTTTGGTACTGTGCTATCATTAATTACAGCGCCGCCGTGTAAAACGCCTCGAATTGGAATGCTTGGCATTTCTTGTTGAATTGACATAATAACTTTAGTAAGATTGTTTAAATTGGTGATATCAACTTCCCTGTGAATAATCTCGACTCCATGCAAATTCTTTATGTTTTGAATTCGTTTTTCTATTTCATCGGAAAGAGAACGTCTCGATAATGATATTATTTTCTTTGCTTTTCTTTTTGATAAGTATTTGATTATCAACCAACCTAAGCCTGTTAGGCCACCCACCACAATGTACGCACTATCATCTCTGATTAGGAGTTCTCTTGAGGTTCTGATCTCAATATTTTTTAAAATATCAGTAACGTTTATCGAGCTTTCATGTTTAAACAAATTGTTCCCATTCTTCTTCTTCAGGCCAGACTTTAGTATTTTCGACGCCCTCTGAGATGCAATACGTAACTGCTTTGTTTCGAATAATTTTCAAAGAGATGCAACGTTTTGAATTTGGAAACAAAATTTGAAGTGCGTCTTTTTCTAGGTAACCATCATCTGACAATAAAATTATTTCTGTTGCAGAAGCGTTTTGTATTTTCTTGCCATTGGTATGCTTCGAGTGTAATATATTGCATTTTTTTTCCTTAAGCAACACGCAAAGAAAATGAAATATAGCCATATGTTTTTGGTTGAAGTCAATAAACACGCGTGATTTTTTCTCTACAAGATCAGCTAGAGACAAAGCAATGATGACAGCATGCATATCTCCGAGTTTATATCCTTCGAAACTTGATTTTACAAAAACACAGTCGTTGTATATCATCATTTCTGTTTGTAGCTCCATCTGACAGCAGGCAATTACTTCGACATTCTTGTTTCCAAGCTTTGCAAAACCGAGAAGTTCACATATTTGAATTTCTTCTCCTTTGATATTGGCGTCCGAGCAATATAATTCAGGAGAATTATTATTGTAAATGAAAAGAGTGTCTTCCGAACAGGTAAGTGCATGTGTTGGTTGAACACATATAGTTTGCATGTTATTACATTCAACTGAACAAGGGATGGCAAAGAAATTTAATTTATCACTCTCAAAAGTTTTTCTTATACGAACAGGTTGAGACGCCTCTCTGAAGCTTTGCTTATAGAGACTTGCATGGAAATTTTCAGGTAGCTTTGTGATTTCGTTTGTATAGATGACATTTCCTCTGATAGCATATTCACTTGGAACTTGAACGTTTCCTGCATCTTGTCCTATAATTACTCTACTAATATTCATCAAGGAGAATTCACTCAGACTATCTACATCTAGTAAAGTGAAAGAGAGTTCTGTTCCTTCATGCGACACAGCTCGAACCATACCCCATAATTCTGCTCCAATAACGCATGGTTTAGGGGATTTGCAAGGCTGTGCTTCATTAGTTATGACCAAGATGTGCGATTTCATCTTGTAAATTGATTTTAAAAGTCCGAGAAAAACTTGACTTGTCTTTCTAACATTATCATAAAGCCATTTTCCAGTTGTATTTTCATCAATTCCTGGAAGTCCTGGGACGAATATCACAAAAATTTTCTGCATTTCAGCTTTCTTCTGGAGAGTAGAGAATTCATTATCAGGTGTTTTTGTTAAATTCAAGGAACATATTTCCACATCCGTACATTCCTTACGAAACGTGTTTTCTATAAGAGAAAGATATTCTGAGTTCCAAGAAAGTACGAAAATAACCTTTCCTTGAACTGGTTTCTCTTGAAGCGAAACTGGTTTCCAAGTTTCATGGTATGACAAAGAATGTATGGCCTCTGGTGAATTAATTTTCTCCACTTCAAAATTCCTCATTTCAGCTACAATGCTACCATTATTTTGTAATAAGAGGATATTGAATTTCGCATTCGTGGCATTGTCGTTTACAAGAGTTGCATAGCATATCATAGATTGTGATGGTCTTTGTCTCACAACCAGATGATGAACTTTTAAGGGCAGAATTCTAACCTTTTGACTCTTTCCATTATCGACATTAATTCCAAAACATGAGTGAAACATACTGTCTAGTATGACGGGATGTAGGCATGTTCTTGTAATTTCCTTCATCAGTTCATTTGAGAGACAAATTTCGCAGATTATCTCTTCATCACGAGTTACACATTTTTTGATGGTTTGATATATGGGACCATGTTGAAATCCTAAACGTTGCATTATCATATATATGATGCGAGATTCTGTCTCTGTTTTTAGCAAAGCTATTAGTCTCTGAACATCAATAATCTGTTCTTTCAGTGTTCTTGCAATTGATATCTTTCCTGAAGACACCGGAGACATATTTCCAGAAGGATAAGTCTCGAAATATATAACTTGATTGTTTTTTCGTTTTGCGATAACGACAAGAGATTCTTCACTGTCTTTGACTAAGACAGCCCGATTTATAGACCATGAAATTTCCAATTCTGTAAATCCACTCTCAGGAACCAGGAAATGTCCAATTTCTAGTCCAATTTCACCGTACAGGGCACCAGGTACAACTGTGCTTCCATCTACAATATGTTCATAGACAAAGGGAGTATTTTCATGACTTAACATAATTTTAAACTGCTCTGAACTTCCCGGAATGCGTGAAAGTAGCATGTTATTTTGATTGTCTTCCTCTCCATTGAGCAAGCATTTAAGTCTCTCTGATTTTAGAAGATTCTTCCTCTTGTTAAATTGATATTTGCCAATTGCAAGCATGTTGCTCGTGCACGGGACAACATTTTCCCAAGCCACTCGAATGCCTTTTTCAAATATATCAATAAACGATTTTCTTAAAATTTCAATCTCATTGTTTCTCTTCATAGAGGGGAGAGACACCTCTTCTGATTTCAGAAATATGCTTGCTAAATGCGCTTTCAATACCGGACTTGGTCCTATCTCGAGAAAAAGTGCATTGGTGTTTATTGACTTTGCTTCTTGTATTGCATGACGAAAAAGAACTGGTTTAAATACATTTGCCGCCCAGTATGATGGAGATCCAAACGTTTTATCTACCAACATTCCTGAAACTGTTGAAATTACTGTTGTGCTGGGGATCTTCCATTCAAGTCCTCTCAACGTCTCTTCCAATTTTAAACTTGCTTCTTTTGTTAAGTGACTATGATATGCGCATTTTACATTCAACGGAAACATTTTTGCATTATGACTAACTAATTGTGATTGTAATTCTTCGATAGCAATCTTGTCACCGGAAACGGCACACGAATGATAACTGTGATATACCGCTATGTTTGCCTTCCCGCATTTGAGGTTAAGGCATTTTTCCTCTATAACTGCAATGGGACAGTTTTGAATAACGACCATTTTGCCGGCATTTTCATTAGCTAAATGAAGAGATCGAAAATAAATAACTCTCACTGCATCTTTAAGAGAAAGTGTTCCACTTGCATATGCAGCAGCAACTTCTCCAACGGACTGTCCAACGATTGTGTCTGGACAAATACCAAGATGTTTCCAAACTTCTGTAAGTGCTATCTGGCAAGCAAAAATTGCAAGATGATTTTCCAGAGGATCTGAAATATCTTCTTCATTTTCAAAGAGAGACTCTACAGAAACACTCGTCAGAGAACGCAACGAATCATCAATATCTTGTATAGTTCTCTTAAAGATATAATCCTGTGTTATGAACTCTTTACACATCTTCCTCCAAGTTGTACCGACACCACAATATACAAATATAATTTTTGGTCTGTCTTTTCCTATGCTTTTTACAATTACGTCTTCCTTTACAAAGTTGTCCAATTTTGTGACTAATTCAGATAATTGTTCCACGACAAATACTTTGCGAAATTTGTAATGATTTCTGAAATGCACAGTTGTACTTGAAATATCTTCTAAAGTAAACTCATTCTGCAGAGATGCTACCAGTTGTTTGGCTAAATTGTTCAGTGCAATCAAATCCTCAGCAGATAAAATAACATACTTTCTGTAGCTCAGACAAGTGTGCATCTTTTGGTTACTCATTGTGCCTGTTCTATGATAATCTGTAATAATTGCATGTGAATTGGTACCACCAAATCCAAAGCAATTAATAGAAGCTATTCTATCCCCTTTCTCATTTTGTGACCATTTTTCAACAGACTGGCACACTTTCAGCTTGCACTCTTTGAAAGGGATTTTTGGATTCAATGATTCCGCATGAATTGATGGAACAAAAAGTTCTTTTTTCATCATCAAGAGTACTTTTATTAATGCAGCAGCACCTGCCCCAGACTCTAAATGACCAATGTTTGATTTGACGGAACCTATCCGTATTTCTTTCGATGTATATTTTGAAAAGAAAGTGCCCAATGCGTTTACCTCTGTAAAATCTCCGACAGATGTCCCGGTCCCTAAAATAAAATAGCTGTTTCTAAATGTGCCTTGTTACGAAAGCCCAGAAGGCTCATTCGAGATTCGAGTTTCAAAATACGAGATTCGAAATTCGAGATTCGAAATTCGAGATTCGAGATTCAAGATCCAAAATAACCAATCAAAAGGCGGATTCAATATTTGATTACTCCCCTTTATTAAGTTTTTACTATCAAGAAATCACTGAATATATTGATAACAAATGGGTCATTTGCATAATTAATAATGCAAGAAAAAATGTTGTATGTATCAAAACAAAATACAAATGAATTTTGGGTAATTTTTTGTAAAATATGTATAAAATCTTATTTTCCTCATTAAACAAAACAATAGATACATATATAGAATATTTTATGGTCTTATTGTTGACTTGCGAAATAAGATTGCATGTCGATAAATTATTTAATATGTACATTGATGAGGGAGGAACATATTACTGATATGAATTGCTGAGGATCGTCTTTACACTGCACAGAAATTTAATTAAGGATACATTTCATTACATGTAAGGGTGAATTTGTGCAGTTAGACTGATCAACTATTTGATATGGAATAAAATAAATTCCAGTCTGTATTGTTTATATGATTTTTAATTAATTCAAGTATTCAAAGCCTTAATTGAAAACTCAGTTTTTATGTATTTCTCATATTGGGAAACAGTGGCGTATATTCCCTTCGGCTAATGTGTAAACTAATGTGAGGTCACAGATTTCACCTAAAGCGCATTATTGCCGATTGCGGATAGGCAAGGAGGGAGTCGCCCCCTCTAAATAGAAGGGGGGGGGTCGGAGGCTCACTTTCTGCGATCTTGGAGACATCTATCATTGTCATTTTTCCAGTGAATATAATTATAAATCATTTAAACATATTTTTATGATACAGAAAGGAGATGGGCGAACATAGCGTGCAGAAAGCCTATAGCTTCAGAAGTATATAAATCATGTTCAGTTTGTGAATTTAATATTTAGAGTAAAGTTATCATTATTGAAATTTATGAAATTGTGATAAACAAAGCTTTTCTGAGGAAAATTTTCTCGGAAAAATTTATTCTTTTATTAAAAAAAACAATGTGGTATTCGTGGGGTTCGAACCCTAGCAATAAAAATCCTGAGTATCATTTTCTTTCGAGACTATCACGCTAACCACTAGACTACACAAGTCCTGACGAACAGTGGCATTTAAATCATGTTTGTGATATGACCCTTGACTTAATGGACTTCAAGTATTTCTCGAAAAGATGCGAATGTTATGTCATAAAAGTATATTTTTAAGGTATAGTGGGTCATTGCTCCATATTTTTGGTAACCAAAAAATGTATATTTTTATGTAAACTTTGAGAATTAACTTTCAAAAATGTGGAGCGAAGACCCACTCATATCGAAAAATAGTGTTATAGTATGCAAAAATGACTCTTTTTGCCCGCTTTAGTGTATGTCTAATATTTCACAGGCAAATAATTTCAATCTTTGAGGGATTTTTGCAAATTGTAGAGATTTTACATAAAGTATATTTTAATGTTAGACGAAATATCAAAGAAAATTTTGATATAATTGAAATTTAATTTTTCATCTTCATGTTTGTCACACTATAGGCTTATCGCTCGTCATGTTCATCCATCTCCTTAAAATCTTCATGACCACTTGTAATAAAATTGAGAAATTTTAAAATCCTTACACAGTGCATGGAAATTATGGAAACCTCTTTACTGAATAATCTAAATATAATTTGTAAGATGTTTTATGTTTGACTCTCTACTAACCCAAACATATTAGTAGACTCCTGTTGATGTCATTTTTAATAGACTGATATCGACTTCAGGGTAACATTTCAATTTTAGATTTAACCAGCTATAAAAATCATAAGTTTTGTATACAGTAAAAATTGGATAGGCATAAGTGTGGATTGCTAAAAATACTTTTATTGCATTTGATGAAAATATATTCTAGTAACTGGTAAATGAATAAGATTTATGGTCAACTTTCCCCCATTTTTCAATCAAATACATGTATAAATATTTTTTTTTCTTTATCACTACTACGATGTCTATCAAGATTTTCTGTGTACACTAAAAAGGCATACATGAACTAAGTAATTTTAATACATGTACGTACTCATTTAGGCTATACGATTTTTTCAAAGTCCTTAAGGTGTATAGAGGGTGCATTTTTTGGTTAAAATAATTAATTTTTTTATCATTATTAAATACATTCATATCTCTTTTTCTCTATGGCCATTACATCATGTATTGAAACTTGTGTATTGATTGGTTATGTATCTTGCGAGACCCGAGCGGTTTCCTTATCAATAATTATCGAATATATAATTATTTTGCCCATGCATAGCAAGATTGACACTGAATATTGATAACCGAACATTTGCCTACCGTTGTAATAAAATAAACAACATAGCCATAGGACCCTGGGCACGTGCCCCCCCCCCCCTTCCCTTTATATTTTTTACCGATATAATTTACTATAGAAAACATAGCAACTTTGTCCTTATGTCCTTTCAAAAATAACGTCTAATAACCGTGATAACCCCTTGGTTTTTTTTTTTGGGGGGGGGCTTTAAAGTGATTTTTTTTTCATTTTATTATTCCCTTCGGGCCTGAACAAAGAGAAATTATAATTTTTTTTAAGCATGTATATTTCAGCCATCCGTACATGTACTTGTGGGGCTGTCTCTTGGTTTCACAAACTTGGTCACTGGTCACTTTCTTACACCTTGTCACAAACTATATCCACTTTGAAACCCGTATTACTAATTATTATTAATCGCTAGTCACTTGTTTTATTGCACATTTGAAACCCGTATTAGTCACTGGTCACTTTCTAATACATTGTTACAAACTATATCCTCTTTGAAACCCGTAGTTCTATTTATCATTAATCGGTAGTCACTTGTTTAATTGCACACTAATAATTCTCATCGACTACAATACGCCCCTTCCCCCTACTTTTGCTCTTTGAATCCGATTAACAATATTTATTATTATATGACATCGAACATGTAAACAAAGTAGATAATACGATATAGTTATTCTTGATATAAATCTATTATAATATTTAAGAAGTTATGATATAAATTTAAGCATATTTTGCAGACCAAAAACCCAATCTTTTTTCTAATTTCGTTCTGATATATATAGCACTCTTTCTTGCATTGTAATATAATCAAATGACCTCTTCAGTTTGAACATATTCAACGATTTCTTGAAGGTCAAAACTTAGCAAAGGGGAGGAATTGAATCTTAAACCGTCTTTTGATTGGTTAGTTTGGATCTTGAATCTCGAAACTCGAATTTCGAATCTCGAATTTCGAATCTCGTATTTCGAAACTCGAATCTCGAATGAGCCTTCTGGGCTTTCGTACCTTGCCTTTGAAATTTCAGAAATTATCTTTCACAAAACATGTTAAATGTGTTTGAATAATTATGGTAACATTTAATCATTTTTGTTAATTATATAATTAAGGATAAATAACACAAACATAGCCAAAAATGATGCGTGGATTGGCATTTATCTTATGTCTGACTTTAAATATAAATGACATGAACAATAAATTTTTTCAACATAAAGAAATCGTATGCATTTTTGATGTTCAAATATGCGACATTGTGCAATTTTCCTTTGATCTGGGCGTGGCACTTCATGTGGACAAACTTATAATCCTGTTATGCATTTATGCTTTGTGCAAGCTTTGTGGCAAGTCTGGTTGAAATTTGCACAGTGGTTCTTGAGAAGATATCGAAAATGTGTAAAAGTGACAGTCGGAGGGATAGAAAGACGACGGACACCAGCATATTAGGAAAGCTCAGTTGAACATTTTGTTCAGATGAGGTTAAAATGAAATGTTTAAAAGCTGTTTCATATTAAAATGAAATTACAATGGAGGGTAAGAAATAATGCCAGTAACTGTCACTCTTATATTTAAGTCACCAATTATTAATTAAAGCTTCGTGTTTTAATTGTAGTTTCTACAAGATAGACAAAGAAATATTTTTTCTTCAGCTTTCCAAAATATTTTATTCAGTGTGATAAGCGTAAAATACCTTATACGAGGGTTGTTCGGAAAGTTCGTTGACTTCTGTCATATCTTTTTTTATTTTCATATGTTATCCAAATTTGGTAGAAATATTTTGATAATAAATTCAAATGATTTGCATTAAAAATTTAAATATCATGATTTATTTCAAACTTATTAGGAGTTAAAAATTGCGAAAATTGGTTCGCGGAGCAGGTCAAAATTTAGAAATTTACAAACAATACCCTAAATAATGTCTGTAGTCATTTTCTCAGTAAAATGGCTCTAAACCAAAAAAATCTAGACGATCAAATGAAGAATTGTTACATCCTTTCATATTCCAGATTATGAATTAATAGTTTGCTTTGTTGAAAAGAAATCAATTTCTGAAGATAGGTAGTCCTCAATGAAAACGGCAAAAAAGTTGACGTCGTAAAACGTCACGAAACAGCACTTTACGATACAATTTCCTGTTGTACTCTGGAAAACGTCAGAATAAAATCTAAAAATGTTGCAAGAAGCATGAAATGTTTCAAAACCGGGTCATGCATGTGTGTATGTAAATGGTCCAGCCAGTATTTGAATGATATAGACTCTGTTTCAGACGAGGACGATCTCTGAGGAAACGGATTATCTGTCAAATTTTTTTTTTACTAAAAATCTAACCAAAAACGTTCACTTAGTAGGGTCTTGGAAAGAGAAAGGCGCTTCATGGTTGCTGATCTTGTGAAAGCATAGTTAAGTGGTAAAAAAGAAAACATCGACAAACAAAAATATGCTACTGAAGCAATCTTTAG